TTTGTCGCCTGTTTCTTGAAAAGGCGCACTCTCCTTGACATTGTCAAGATCTGTTTTTTCTCCACTTGACCCAGTGGCCATAACAGTGGGCTTGACATCCGAGAGATAGCACTCTCGGGCCATCCTCTGATCTCCCCTTAGGGAGCCGACTGTTCCATTATCCCTCTCAAACTTAAGCAGCATAAGAGACGGGTTTATAACAGCCTTGGATTTATTCAGGGTTGGTCGACCCAGAATCATGTTGTAGGCCGAGAGTTCCTCTACTACTAGGAACCGGACTACCATGTGTCGTCCTTCCCCTTTTTCGCCCAGGCGAATGGGTAAATCTACTCGTCCCAGTGGGTGGACGACTCCTCCTCCAAACCCTATTAAAGGGTGGGAGGCCGGATGTATGCAGTCCGTCTGATATTTCAGTTTTGACAGACATTTGCTGCTGATGAGATCTGAGGAGCTCCCGGTATCTATGAGGATTCGGCCAACTCTCTGGTTGGCCACTTTACATTCAATAACGAGAGGGTCGTCATGCGGCCCCTTATCCCTCCTAGATCCTCTTCAGTGATGACAATCTCAGGAAATGTATATTTGGACGGCCGTTCTTGGTGAACGGAATTTACATCTAACCGCCTTATATTATCTTTGTTGCCCCTAATAGTGGGGCCGCCTCCTGAGAAGCCGCCTGCAATGGTGTAGACGACTGCATCATCTGTATCGGAACTGTCGACCTGTTGATTCTTTTTGGCCGACTGCTTTTTTGAGGAAGTGTTCCCCGTAGATTTCTTGACATAAGTGTCAAGATCACCTTGCTCAGCCAGGCGGTCTAGGTACCGCATGAGACTGATGCAGTCATTGGTGTGATGACCAACGTCATCATGATAAGCACATATTTTGTCTTGGTTCCGGTTGTTTGCAGAACCCTTCATGGGGACCGGCTTCTCAATTGAGAACCGTCCCTTTATTTCTTTTAGGATAAACTGGTTATCCTTGTTAAACACATACTTTGGGGAGTATGGTTTGAATTCTTTTTTATTTTTCTGGGCCGGCTGTTTAGAGGAATCAGCCGCCCAGACCTCTTTTCTTTTCTCATCTTTGTTAGACGACTGTTTCTGTCGTCCTTCTCTTTTGTCGAACCTTTTCCCATCCGACTGTTTTATTGTACACAGATCAGTCCCTGTATATAGGCTTCTGCTTCAATCAAGGCCTCTTGAAGAGTCGCCACCCTTTTTCGAACTAAATCAAATTTGAAGGTAGACCCGTCTTTGAGACCTCTAAAAAAAGTCAGTATAAGCTACCTCATCCGGTAACCCTTGAATCTGTATTCTCATCAGGTTGAACCGCCTGATGTAAGAACGAAGCCCCTCCTTCTCGCCCTGCTGAATTGTTCCCAAATCAAGGGTCGTTTTCTTTGCAGGGATGTTCATGGCGAAGTTGGAGGCAAATAAGTAAGCAAGCGTCCTGAAGCTGTTTACACAACCAGTCGGCAGGTTGCCGAACCATTGCTGTGCGATTCCCTTGAGAGTCGCTGGGAAACACTTGCACCAAGTGGGATCATCCAACCCTTGAAGGTACATCAGGTTGGTGAATGCCATCAGATGGTCTTCTGGGTTAGTAGTGCCGTCATAGGCGCCTACTAGTACATTCTTTACTTTGGCCGGCTGAGCGGCTTCAGTAATTTCCTTGGAGAAGGCCGACGGCTGTTCACCAAGTCTAAGCAACCGTAGCTGCCAGTCCATAGGTTGGACGTTTTTTGCTGCAGGTCCACCAAATGGAGGTGGCTGCATAAAATACTGTTGTTGCGGCACAAATGGTAAGTTTGGTACCGCCTGGTCACTATGAAAGCCGGACTGACGGGAGGTGCCGCCTGACTGACTCTCATGGTACGACTGAGTATGCCTCATCGAGGCATTTCGCAAACTGTCTTGAAAGTCTGAAGTAGAGGCCGACTCGGACAATCGGTCACTCTTCTTCTGCTCTAGCAGTAGCCGAGCATTTGTGAATGTTTGCTTTGACCCGTCCGCCTGAATATGACGAACCGGTTTCCTATTTCCCGTAGGATAACGGAATTTTGTGAAATCAAGAGCAGGTGGCTCCCGCTTCTTGGATTTAGGATGAGGAGTCGCCTCTCGCCCTTGAACTGGCTTCCTCTTCAGTGAAGTGGAAGGTTTCTTGGCCGACTGCTCTTTGACTGAAGCAGGCGGCTTTTTGTTGATCAACTCTTGGATCTCTCCCTTGAAGTCCCTCATGAAGGTCATGAGTTCGTTCCTTGTGATGGGAGCAGACCCATCAGTCGGCTGTTGCCGAGCAGGCGGTGCGCCTGCTGGCTCGCTTCCTGTTTGAAGATGCTCCCGTTCCCTCCTTTCGGTATGACGGGTACGTCGGGCCCTTAGGGTCCCGTCTGGAGCTGTATGAGTTTCAACTTCAAATTCACTTTCGGTGTCATGGTCCGACTGAACTTGAGGGTCGTTTATGGGACGCCTCTCTTCAGGAGTCGGTACAGACTTGGATGCCATCTCTGAAGTACTCTCCCCACAGACGGCGCCAAATGTTTCGGGGTTTTCTGATGTCCTGCGGGAGAGTTACAATTCCGAGACTGGAACCGGACGCCTGTACCTGCAAAATAACGGAGACTCCTGAGAGCTCCGCCTCCAACGGTCAAGTTAGTACCTGATTAAGGAGTAATTAATACGGAAATTAAAGTAATAAGACCTCTCTAGGTGAGAGTGTTTAATGTTGGTAATCTGCTTTGTTAGCGAGATTAGCCGGTTATTAGTGTTCCGTAATGTTTCTGTTCCGTTCTTCAGGTGAGATTAGTTGCTTGATCAATTGCTCTCTCAATTGCCTGATGTTTTCTTGATTTCTTGATCCCTGGATTAATGAGGATTAATTAAGTATTTATAGTCTTGGGAAACGTGCCACTCTCTAGGTTTAGGGTAAACCTAGGGCTGACCGGGCCTCTAGACAGGATTGGGCCTTGTTGGCCGGTTTTCCAATTTGGCATGGGTGGACACGTGGCGTGCCTCGATTAGTCTGTAGAGGACGTATCTGTGATTGACACGTGGCAGGCTCCTATTGGCCTACGTGAAGGACACATGGCGGAACCTGGTTGGTCCACTTGTCAGACGGTGATTGGAGGATAAAAATCCCCTAATCAGTTACCACGGTAACCGAAGCCCAAAACCAGTTACCGTGTCCAGTAACCGGAGCCTAAAATCGGTTACCGTGGCTGGTAGCCGATTTTGGGCTACGGTTATCGCAATTGTCGGAATTAAAAAAAAACCACCATCTTCCCATCGGCGAGGGAAGGTGGTGGGTCATCATTGAGGGGGATGTGGAGGGTCGCCGGTCAGGGTGGTGGTGGTCGTCGCCGGTCAGTTTTGTTGTGGTGGTCTTTGCCGATTAGGGTGATGGTGTCAAGGTGTTAGTCATTGGTGGCAAGAGGGAAGATAGTGGTGAACTACTAAGGATATGGTTGTCCAGTCACACTAAATGTCGGCGGTTTTGATATTTTTGTTGGCGGTATTTAACACCCTCTATTTTAATATATGAAAGTTGCTTAGAATGTGCCATGTGTCCTTTTCACTTTTAATTTTATTTTTAAATAACATCATGTATTTACATTTAATTTTATACCATCATGTATTTATCGTTATAGTTTTATAGTTTATTTCAAATTGCGTACAATTTAAACAAATTCTCTACCATTGTTTCAAAATTTATGTTGTAACATTGATAACCATGATGACAAATTTTAGTTTAGATCACGTCATATATTCTACTTTTTTGTATTTATTTCTATCTTTTTTTTTTTTTGACGTTTGTATTTTCCTTCTTATATAACTTCTATATTAATAGGTTTTTTTTTTTTTTTTTTTTTTTTTTTTTTTTTTTTTTTTTTAATAAACTATATTGATAGTTTAATTTCACTATTATTTTAATCCATCAAGTCATTTTATATTAGATTTGCATCATTTATTCTTCCACTTTTAAAATTTAGATGACAAAGGTATAATTTCTTAATTGAGTGATTTACAAATACAGAAAAAGTTGTCTTACAAATACAATCTAATTAGTTTTATAGCAAATTTTAAAATAAATTATAGTGAATGCTAATACAATTATTTCTTGAAAAAATTATACAAGTTTTTTTATAATAAAAATCAATCCGCATATTGCACATGATAAATACTAATTAATCTAATAAGTTCAATTTATTACATTTATAATGTACATGTATGTAATAATCTAAGGACTTGTTCTCTTCAACTTATTTCAGATAATTATTACTTATTTCTTAATAAATTCAGATCAGATCAGACAATATCATAAAGATTCAGATCAGACCAAATCAGAACTTTTGATTATCATTTACTTATCGTTAAATATAGTTAATTGCGTATTTAATTTTTTTTTTTTTTATAAATTTACATATTTGAAAAGTTCATAATGAGACTAATCTAACAAGATCCATTTTGATGATGTTTTTCTTTATAGAGATTAGTATTACAATGTACAAATTCTTAAATGGACCTGGTTCACACAAATTTATTGTGAACCACTAACATTAGAGATACTATGATTGTTTTATTTATAAAAAACAAAAGATCACTACATTAAAATAAAGGTTATTATGTTGAAATAAAAGCGATTGTGACATTATAAAAGCTATAAGAGGTTAATTTTTTGTAATGTAAACAAAAACAACATTAAAGGTCACACAAGTTTTAATAAAAGTTACTATGTTAAAAAATAAGGATACTACATTAAAATTATGGTCAATATGTTCTAAATAATGTTAGTTCTGCGTGTATATAAATCTCAAGTTCACAATAATATTATGGTGGACCAGGTTTACGCAAGAATTCTGATTACAATGCGGTCAAAGTTTAATCAAATTGTTAAATCAGATCAGAGCACACCAGATAATAAAAATTCTAATCAGACCAAATCAAACCTTAAAAAAATTAAACCCGATCTATTTTTTTAAGGTGAAGAGAACAAATCCTAAGTTCAAACAATGAAAACAAGACCTTAATAATTTAGACAAATATCCTACAGTTATAGTCAACTGTCCTATAATTATTCAATTATAAAATCCTCTTTATACTGCAACTTTCCTAAAGTACCCTTTTTCCCTTCTTTTGAAAAACAACCACCAAAAAAAAAAGTGAATTACTGTATTTGCATCCCAGCTGTTTGAAACTTTGAAAGGTATGCATATCCAAAAATTACACAAACATGACACAATATAATCATGTGGACCCAACCTTTCAAATGTGGGCCCATATAAAAAAATACACCCCTTTTATCAGTATTTATAAAATTTACCCAATTTTCTCTCTCCTCCTAATCTTTAGTGGGGTCGCCAAAATCCCCAATTTTTTTTTTTCTAAAACCCTAATTCTTCCGCCGTTATTTCCACCGGAAACCACCACTATGGGTTCCGAGACAACCATCCTTCAAACTCTCCAAAACTCCGACCAACCTCAATTCACATCACAAGAGTCGCAACAACAACAATCTTTACCTCTTTCTTTCTCTCTCCCTTTTCCTCCGATGTCAATCACTTCTTGCTCCTCCAAATCAACTACCAACAACACTTCTACGACCGCCGCAAAACTCGCGGTTACCCGTCGCAAAAACTCCTCAACCAAAGACCGACACACCAAAGTTAACGGCCGAGGTCGCCGCGTCCGCATGCCGCCGCTCTGTGCTGCGCGCATCTTCCAGCTAACACGCGAGCTCGGCCACCGTACCGACGGCCAGACAATCGAGTGGCTTCTCCGACAAGCGGAGCCGTCGATCATTGCTGCTACTGGTACTGGCACGGTTCCTGCTGTTGCTGATTTTACTTCTCCTGCAAAATCATCTTCGACGCCTGCAATTGCTGCTTTGCCGCTTTCGATGGATAATGGGTGGCATTTTCCGTCGCAAACGGTGGGGTTGGAGTTTGGGTATCGGCATATTCCGTCGTTTACTGCGTTGTTGCTGCAGCCCGATGACGGCGAGATGCGAATGAGGCATCAACATGAGGTGCAAGAGCAAGAGCAAAGGGAAGAACAAGGGGAAGTGAATGGTATTGCTAAACAAGAGGTTCAGAATTAAAGGGTGATTAATTAGTAGTAAGTATAAATTAATAGTAAGTAATGTAATTTGAGTTTAATTTTGTAATTTTTAGGGGTTAGGGTCTGAATTAGCTTATCGGATTGGATTAGATTAGATTTTAGATTAAATATGGTAAATTTTTTTTAAGTTTAGAATGGGCAGAGGGTGCTGGGATGATATGTTCATCCGTGTGTTGTGAAATATAACTGTGAAGCCCTATTTTTGTTGAATTTTCCGGGGTTTTTTAAGGCATTTGAACTGCGGTATGTGATGTAAATTTTTGGGGAAGTATAAAATCATATTTTGGCACCAAGTTTTTGGGGTAATTTTACTAATTTATGTTGAACACTTGAATTGTGGGTACTTGCTACTTACACTAAACTACTGAAGGTGTGTAGATGATGATGATATAGCAGTAAGGTAATCTAAGAGCTCAGTTGACCATTTAAAATGTGCATTAGGCGTAAAGTGGTTCAAAAATTAGGCCTCGGATTGAAAAAATAATACGTGTAATAATAATGTACTTGTACTTAGCTTTGTTTTTTGCATTTTACGATACTTTTTAGAGAAAGTTTTAAGAAAAAATATTAGCTTTTCAGCAAATATTCCTTCCGCGCACCAAATCACTGACTAGATATTCCACCAGTCGAGTAACCCTAACCGAATAAACACAGACCAAGGAATACCTAACCGACTGAGTAACCCCTAATCAAGTAAACATTGACCGGGTAACTCCTAACCAAGTAAACATTGACCGGGTAATCCCTAATCGATCAAGTAACCCATGACCGATCGAGTGAACTCTGACCAATTAATCCTTGCCTGACCGAATAACCCCTGATCGAGTAACCCGGACCACACCAACCACATATGAAAAATTGTGATATTCCTTTACTTCCACTAACTAAGGCTATTTTATATCATGGTTGGTGCTTTTGGAATGGAGTTAAAGTCCTTTCCATCTATTTAATTGTTTGGTTAGGCATTTTAGGTATGGAATCTCATACCAAGATGGTTCTTGTTTTGGGGTTTTCTAATGTATCCTGCGGGAGAGTTACGTCACCAAGACTGGATCTTTGTTCGCTTGTACCTGCAATAAACGAAAGCTCTGGTTGTTCGGAGTTCCGCCTCTGACGATCAAGTTAGTACGTGTCGAAGTAGAGAAATGCGGAAAGTAAAGTAGATGTTTCTCGAATCTCGAGACCGGGTGTTTTCTCAGTTGTAAGAGAATAATAATTGTTGTAATAATTAGGTAAAGTGTAATAAATGAACGTGCCCCCAAATGGTGGTAAATGTCTCTATTTATAAGGCATCAAGAATTGGGCCCTTGAAGGCCTCCATTTTCCGTCATGATGGGTGTGCCACGTGTCTTATCCTGGTTGGCCCAATTTGGGCGACTCCTAGGGTGACACGTGTCATTACATGGTTGGACCACGTGGCTAGAATATTTTTACCCTGATCATTTGCCCCTCACAGGGGTGACGTGGCGTGCCATGTGGCGCCTGTGATACTTGTCACGCATGCACTGATGGCGGTTATTTTAACCATTTCACCTTCTAGGGAAATTACAGGGATGCCCCTGAAATTTACCCCTCTATAAATAGTTTTTACCCCCCTCATTTTCGCACGTTCACGAAAAATCTTCAAGAGAGAATTTGACTTTTTGAGAGAGAATCATTTCTGCCGCTTGTATTATGTCCGCCGGCATCGCAGCCGCCACAAACTCAGTAGTTTAACGATACCTTCTATCTACAAGGTAACTTCCTGTTTCTCCTCTCTTTCTCGCTTATTACCGTTTGTGCTTGCTTTTCTTTTTCTTTTCAAAAATGGTTTCACAAACACACAAGGCACGACCTAGGATAACTGTCAGTCGGTCACCTGGTACAGTTGAATCTAGGACTAGGAGTGCTGCCTGCCCCTACTTGGACTCCCCCCTGCGAACATCCTTGAATTCGACCATCTCTGTGTCTGTGCAGGACACTATGGCCAGAATGAAGAGAACATGTCGAGAGCTCTTGAAGACGGTACCCTTAGAGTGTCGGCTAGTGAGGTTTTTGACCATCCACCCAGCCCTCCCAGTACGCCAGGTGACTCGATTTTGAATGAGTCAGGAGAAGGGTTTGGAAGCAATTCCTCCAGCTTTGTACAGGGGTTGTCTCATTCGGACGCTGGACCAGGCGGCTCTGAGCTGGATCAGGGCCGTCTGCATTGAATGAGGAGTCTGGGAGCTTTGAGGCTGAGTCTGGGCCGTGCGTCGGTAGAAGAGGCCGCCTCCGTAGAGAGGAGAGGCTTCCACTTTTCACCAGGAGGAGTTTGCCGCCTATTATTAACACATCACCTCAAACACATGGAGGTCCTTGCTCAAGAAGCTAGATGAATTCTGCACCACCCATGTCATGGGGGCTGGTTATGAAATCCATGTCCCTGACTTGGAAGACACGGTCGTCTGGCCTGTTGGAACTAGCTATGGGGACCAATGCTTCGGCTGTTACGAAGCGGCCATTCAAGTAAGCCTCAGATTCCCTCCCCACCCGACTGTGGAGAAAATTCTTGATGGATACCGCCTGAGTATCTGGGAACTTGCCTCCAAGTATTGGGTGAACATGCTGGGGTATGTTGCCGTATGTGAGATGCTCAATGTTGAGCCGGGCTTTGAGGCATTCGCTCAAATGCACTACTTAAGAAAAGCGCCTAAGGCAAGCGGCTGGTATACCCTGACCACCCACAAGGGGTATATGATGTCTGTAGGTAAGGAGTCCAATTGGAAGAACTGGCAAAATAAGTTTTTTATCGTTTCTTTGCCGGATACCAAGAGGAACCTAAAGTTTAACTCCTGGAACCAGAATCCCAATCTCCTAGGGCAGAAGGTAATTTTTCCGCCTGTCCCTGAGAAAGGTTGGGACCAAATCCTCACACCCGGCCTTTTCAAAGTCTCCACCAAGATTCACGAGGGGCAAAAGGAGATAATTCTGAAAAGTTATGTCCCAAAGTTTGAGTGGTTGGCAGACGACGCCTATTTGGCCGCTTACGGCCTTAGTACCAAAAGCCTAGTGGTAGATGGCCGAATGTGCATTTAAACTTAGCAATGGTAGATGGCCGAATGTGCATTTAAACTTAGCAATTTTCCTAAGGCTTGTCTGTTTTTTTTTTAATAATCATCCGGCTTATTCTTTGTAGGCGAACCAATGGAATACATTTCTTCAAGCCAAAAGCCTGCTAGCTCTGCGGCCGCCTACTGTTAGATTAACAAGCGAAAGGCCGAGGACTTCAAAAGGGACCAGCTAGCTCATGTAACACTCTTCAACCTTTGAGTTGTTTTCAATTAGTATACAAGCATCTTTTACCGCCTGACACTAATATACTCTTGTTTCGGGGTTTTCTGATGTCCTGCGGGAGAGTTACAATTCCGAGACTGGAACCGGACGCCTGTACCTGCAAAATAACGGAGACTCCTGGGAGCTCCGCCTCCAACGGTCAAGTTAGTACCTGATTAAGGAGTAATTAATGCTGAAATTAAAGTGATTTGGTCTCTCTAGGGGAGAGTGTTTAATGTAGGTAATCTGCTTTGTTAGCGAGATCAGCCGGTTATTACTGTGTGTAATTAATGTGTTTTTTCCGTAATGTTTATGTTCTCTCCCTTAATGAGGATTAAGGGAGGTATTTATAACCTTGGAAAACGTGCCCATCCTAGGTTTAGGTAAACCTAGGGCCGATTGGGCTTCCCTCGGAAGTTGGGCCTGGGTGGCCGGTTTCTCCATTAGGCATAGAGTATGCCACATGTCTTGACATAACAGGTCCAAAGTAGACGAATAAGCGCGTGCCACGTGGGAAGCCCTGACTGTTCCAACTGGGGGACACTTGGCAGGACCTGATTGGTCCACGTGGCGCATTCCGATTGGTGGGAGCAAAATCCCCTAATCATTTGCCCCTCACAGGTGGCACGTGATTGGTCACGTGTTACCTGTGACAGGTGTCGCACTGTAACGGGCGACAGCCTGCTACAGGTGTCAGTCGGCGAAAGGACGAGAGATTTTCCCGCCCAAATTTTGAATTCTGAAAGTGACCCTTCGCCTTCTCACTTCGCCTATATAAGGGAGAGTTGTCTTGTGTCATTTTCACACTTTGAGAACTTTTTGAGAACATTCGGACCCCTGAACTTGCTCTGACATTTTGGACCTTTTCAGCCTACCGCCTGTTCTGACAAGCTGACTGCACAGGATTTTCAGAACTTCATCAACCGTCACTCGTTCAGGTAACTCAGTTCTCTTACTCTTAATTTTCTTTTTATTTTCTGAAATGGCACCACGGAAGCACACGACACGACCTAGGTTAGTGATCAGCCGGTCACCGGGGACGGCTGAATCTAGGACTAGGAGTGCCGCCTGCCCTTTTCCGGACCCATCTTTGCCCTTTATACAAAGTCTGACTGTATCTGTGTCTATGCAGAGCAGGATGGCCAGAACGAAAAAGACAGCTAGGATCTCAAATTCAGACGGCTCCTCCCACAGGGTGCCGCTTAGTGAAACATCTGACCAGGCGCCAGATGTGGAAGTGAAACAAGGCGGCCTGGATGCCGGCAATTCTGTGGGGGGAGTCATAGTGACCCCTTCCCATTTAACAGTTAACAAATCTGCTCCTTTTCAAAGAGAGGAGGCGGGCCCCTCCGGGAGAGGGGAGGAGTCGTCCTCTTCAGACTCGTCCGAGGACGATTCCTCGTCAAGCTCTTCTGGCCAGGCTTCTTTGGGTACAGAAGAGAAAAACAGCCGCCTGCAAGAGGCGAGACTTTCTCACGCAGTTGAGAAGGGGGACAATTGGGCGGAACCATCCGCCTCTTACCGAGAGCTAAATACCCCCTACTACTGCACGGTACCTCGGGGCCGAATCACATCCATGCAAGAGAAAGTGGAGAGCTTTATTGCAAACCACACCATGGGCCCCGATTTTCTAGTGTTTGTGCCGGATCCAGAAGACACAGTCGTCTGGCCGGCTGGTTCCAGTTATGATAGCGCCTGCTTTGGCTGCTACGAGGCGGCCATCAAGGCAGGGCTTCGCTTCCCATTACATCCGGCTGTTCAGCGGATTTTGGATGGGTATGATTTGGGGTTATGGCAGTTAGCCCCAAACTCCTGGGTCAACGTACTCGGCTATGTGGCCGGGTGCGAACTGCACGGGGTGGAGCCGAGCTTCGAGGCTTTCGCCCATATGAACTATCTCAGCCGGACCCCTAAAACAGGCGGTACCGACTGGTATCAATTGACAAGCCACAGGGGCTACCTCATGACAAGAGGTAAAGCAAACAAGTGGAAAGACTGG